TCTCTGGTTTCCCTCCCCCCAAGGTCACGGTGGTCCTGAGAAGCTGAAACCTGTGTCTGCAGGGCTGGACCCATAAACAACCTGGCCTGTGATAGGTGAGAAGTAGCTCACCCCTCATTAATAATCAATAGCTTAGCCCAAAACTAATAAAAGGAACTTCCCTTCTTTGTTCTTCTCTTCTGCCCCTTCTCCCTCTCTGCTCCTGCTTCCTGAATAAAGTCTCCTGTCGGACCTCTCGGTGTGTGTGTGTGGCCTAGTTGTTGAGCGTCACTATTCCCTTTCAGGTACCAGGTACTACAGTGGTACACAGAGTTCTGTCATCTTGTGATTCAGAATATCACTCACCCTCCTGCTTGGTCTCTGTTATTTGAGATTCAGGGAAGCATTTCTTGGGGACAACAACATATTAAAAAATAATACTGACAAGCATATCCCACTGCCCACCATGATTTTTAGGTTTCCTAAGCAAATACTATACCAGCCTCACATCCTAAAGCTCCTTTTTCTGGGCTGTGTCCCCAAAAGCATTCAAGATGAAATAACAGGTTTGACCTAGTCTCCCCAGAAAGGTAAGAATGACTTAACTCAAATTCTTCAATGTTTTATTTTTTTCATGAACATAAATCTCAACATTCAGTCAAGAAAACACCGAGCATCACCTGGAGCTCTTCTGGTGGTGACTGGCTTGCCTTCCTGAGGTTCAACCTGCTGGAACACATGCTGCGTGCCCTGTGCTGTGGCCCTTTTCAGACAGATGTTCATCAGGTCGTGGGTGATCGTGACATTCTGGGTGAGTACAACCTGAGGATCAGAATTCAGTTTCTGGATCAGAGCAGCTACCTCATCTGAAATCAGTCCTGTGTTGCTCATGGTGCCCACATGGCCCAGTGGGATAATGTTAGTGTTGGTTTTGAAATAAAGGTTTCACTAGGTTGCCTAGCCTGGTCTCAAATTTCTGGATTTGCATGAGCCTCCTGCCTCAGCTTCCCAAGATTTGGGACTAAAGGTGTGTGCCATCACCCCTGGCCTGAGAACATTTTTCTAAGTAAAGTAAGCTAGTTACAAAAAGAAATCTTGCCAGGCATGCCAGAACATGCCTGTAACCCCAGCTACTCTGGAGGCTGAGACAAGGATTGTAAAGTTGAGGCTAACCCAGGCAACTTGGTGAGATCCTGTCTCAAAAAAAAGGAAGTGCTAAGGATGTAGCTTAGTAGTAGAGTGCTTTCCTAGCATGTTCAAGGCCTGGGCTCAATCCCAAGCACTGCGGCGGGGGGACGACATATTATATTAGTCCACTTATTTGAGGTACCTAGAGTTGTTAAATTCATAATAACAGAAAATAGAATAGTGGTTTCCAGAAGCTAGGGAGAGGAAAACGGGAGTTATTTGATGGACACAGAGTTTCCGTTTTGCAAGATTAGAAAGTTCTGGAGATTGGGTGTACAACAATGTGAATATACTTAAGATTACTGAACTGTACCTTTACAGATGGTTGAAGTGGTGATTTTTATGTTATGTGTATTTTACTACAAATAAAAATGTAGTTGATACATCCATGGCTGATTAATTGTGCTGGTCAATATTTAAGATTTTGCTGTCACACAAGGAATACTATTTAGCCATAAAAAGAAATAAAGTACTGAAGTATGGTACAACATGGATGCACCTTGAAAACATTACTCCAAGTGAAAAAAGTCATTCACACAGGATCACATGATATATAATTCCATTTATATAAAATGTCCAGAATAGGCAAATCCGTGGCAATCTCACAAAGGAGATCAATGATTACCAAGGTGGGAGGGGTGGTGGTAGAATTGGGAAGTGATTGGTAATAGCTACAAGGTTTCTGTTTGGGATGATGAAATGTTCTGGAATTATAGATGATGGCTCTACAGTTTTGTGGACGTACTAAAACCTCTGGGTTTATATTCATAAAATCCATTTAATGGATGTAAATTGTAACCTAGTGAAAAATGAAACTGGCTCTCTGCTCTTGAAGACAAGAATCTGAGTGTCTTAGCTTAGTATTCTCTTGAAATCCAAGTCTGAGTCAGGTCTTGTACATGGAAAGTTCCCCTAAAAAGTACGGCATGAAGCTGAAGAGAGGCACTAGGAGAGTGGTAGGTGGGAGGGTAGTCATTGAGTGTGTCCCTGGGTTCTCTGCTGTGGGAATTTGGGCTCAGTTCCACTGGGAACCTTCTGAGGCGCATACAGAAGACTCCTCATAATCGCCCACCTGAAGACTGAGTGAGTGTTTATCCATCAGCTCCCATCCCCATGGGTTGAGGGCTGCCTCTGGAGGCATTAACGGCATCATCCTGGAGCAGAAATTGAGTCTCACCTAGGGCGAAAGCCTGTTGTTGTGAGCACTTCAGGAACTTTGGCTGCAGCTTTGGCTGAAGTCAGAGGTGAAGCCAAGACTACGCGAGTCATGATACCGGGAGTGTCCCGTGCGTGATGCCCCTGATTGCCCTCCATTCCCTGCCCTCCCAGTGCCCACGTGCTGCAATGTTAGCACCAGCAACTGAATGTAAAATTAGTGATCCCAGTCAGTAGGCATTTAGCTTTTCCAATATGTTTAACTGATTTATTAGCTCATTATTGTTTCTTTCAAATCACTGCTTCCTGCCAGGTTCAGTTTTTTTCTTTGAAGTGATTTCTGAAAATATATTTAACTTATCATTACTATTGAAGGATCGGGTAGCTATGTATACAGTTCTAGGCTCAAGTTTATTTTCCTTTTTCTCTTAAATATCATTTTATTTTCTTCTTGCCATTGTTGCCAATGAGGACTCTGCTGTCAGGTGCTGGGTCCTTGTTTTGAGGTAATCTACTTTTTCCGTGGTACTAGGATTTTAAAAAAACCAAAACTTTGCTGTTCTTAAATTTTACTAAACTGTGAAACTAGAAATAGATTTTTGTTTGTTTTTTTCATCATGCTTAACATATGAAGAAAAGTTTTTTCAAATTTAAGGATTCTTTTTTTTTTTCATTTTTGGAAAGTCCTCAGTCATTTTTTTTTTCTTTCTTTCCTTTTGGTATTTAGTGCCTTTCACAGTGAAAAACAGTGTTACACTTCTGACACGTATTTAAGTTGCACATCGTTTTTATTCCGGGGTAGCTTCAATTTAAGTGCACTGGGTACTGCGTGGCTTGTCAAGTCAGAGGTTCTTTTGTATCGGGGCCCTTATTCAAGATCTCTTCTTTTTCTGTTATGTAGAAGTTCCCCGAGACAACACGGCTCTCTGTGACTGCATGTACTGTGGTCCTCAATTTTTGTTCTATTAGAAAAAACTTAATTAGGAGTGATGGAGACCATTTCCTAGGAGTGAGGGACATGTGTCAAAATAGCTTTGCATAGTCAGTGAGCAAATCACAAGTGTCCAAAAGGTGATGCGTAAACTGTCGGCTTGCATGTTTTGGGGTCTAGGACTCAAATCGGGCTTTGTGTCTTTCAAGTACTTCAGGATTTGAGAAATAAGCCCCCCGCTCCACTTTTTGAGATAGGGTCTCGCTATGTAGTTTAGGCCGGCCTTGAGCTCACTGTTTACTCTGGCCTCAAACTCATGGCCCTTCTGCCTCAGCTTCCCACCGTGGCCAGCTCTTCCCTTTTCTTTTGAGCCTCATAACTACTGTGAATAGCCTGTAAGTTGAAGTCTGATACTAGAGCAGTCTGTCTGTCTTCAGCAACATCATCCTGAAAGATAGCGCTGTGCATGGAACTCTTTGATTCAAGTTTTAAAAAATTGGTCTCTGAACTACTAGAGCTATTAAGATCTAGGTGACTGACTTGTTCTAGAGGAGTTCGTGCAATACGCCAAAATCCGCATCCTTAAGACTTTTAGAAACAATTCCATTTATATTTGAAAAGAGTCCCATAATGTAGTTTTATGCATGGAACTTTCATTATAAGAAGCATGTGAGTGGTCTTTTTTTTTTTTTTTTGAGACAGGGTTTTGCTATGTAGTTCTAGTTGGCCTTGAAGTCACTATGTAGCCCAGGCTGACCTCAAGCTCATGGTGATCCTCCTGCCTCAGCCTACTTATTCAGTGCTGAGATTACAAGTGTGCACCACCAATGCCCAGCTGGTCTGATGTTTCAACATATTTGTCTTTATTCCTATTCATTACATTGATCCTATTGTGTACAGAAGGGAAAGATGTCTCTGTTTGGCTAGTTTCTGGAAGGTTGGTTGATAAAGCTGTATACTCTAAATCTCGCTTCCAAATTATTTTCTTATTTAACAAATCTGATTGATCTTCTTTTGGGGGTTCACCTATTTTATAAGACTGGTTCTCAAGGCACATCCTTGAGTCTGTCCAGAATACCTCTTTCTTCAGGTAAATGAAACTGGCCAAAATCTGAGAAAAAACTGGCTATGCTAAATTCTCTTTGATAATGCAACACAGGTAAGGATTCTGGCAATACCTGTCTATGTCTAGTATCCAGCCAAATTGGATACGTACTTCTGTTGTCTTCCATTTCAGTAGCTTTTCTCAAAAATCCTAATTACAGTTCTCATGTTTTCTAGGTGTACAGGAATCCGGTTCCTTGTTAAGAAGATGTTAGAAACTATAGAGTCAATTAATTCCTCTAATTTTACCTTTTCCTTCAGAGACCAGTGGTGAATAAGATAAAACTGCCCTAGCAACCCTCTTCTACCAGATGATTGTGTTATTTTTGGAATGGATTACTTTGGTGGGGGGCTGGCAGAGACTCTGCAGATGCAGCATTGTCTGTATTCTTTGCAATAATCAGTAGTAGAAAGTCTTCCACTTCCAGTTCTGCTATTTTCTTAGAAATTGTTTCATTTTTCCCTTTGGGAGCCCTGATCATTGTATCCATTTCAAAGAGCACACTACTGTCTTTCTCTGATTATGAAGCTGAGTGCAGCAGGAAAAAGGCAAAACTGAAAAGGAAAATGCAAGCACTAGGCAAATCCAAGTAACACGAGGGAAAGAATTATGTTCACTTGCTGCATCTAAATATTCTAAAGAAATTGTCTGCCTCATATCTGTCCATTACAATTTCACTCAATCTCTCTTGGCCATCAAAAGGTAATTTATTCGAGGAAGGTATAGTGACAGAGTAGCATTTCAGCCCAATTTGTGTATCTGCCTCTCAACTCAGCTGTTATTTCTAACTGTTCCAGCTGGATCTATTTCTAAACCTTGCCTTCATATTTTCCATCTCTTGGTCTTTTAGTGCTGAGTTCCTGGATATTTTCTCAATTCAAACTTTTTTTTTTGGTACCAGAGATCTAACTCAGAACCTTGTGCTTGCAAGGCGGGTGGCAGAACCACTGAGCTAAATCCCTGGCCCTTCAAATCAAACTTCTAATTCATTATTTCTTTCTCCAGCTGTATTCAGTGAGATATTCAGCCTGTCTTTGGGGGCTTTATTGTTTTACTGTAATTTTAATTCTCCTGATTTCTAATGCAATCTTAGAGGTTTTTCCTGTTCTTATTTCATGACCTCCTTTTCTTGTTTTGATATTGTTATCCCTTCTTTATTTTTGAGGACTTAAAAATATATTTTTTCAAAGTGCCCTAAGACTTTTTCCCCCCTCAGTCCTCAGTTTGATTGCATTTATGGTGTTCCCTCAGTGCTCTGTGATTCTTGGTTTTGAGGTTTTTCAGAAGATTCTGTAAAAACCCAAGGCCATCTGCTAGTGGCCTGAGCTTGGTATGTATTGGGCTGAGCTCCAGCGTGGGGTTTTCTCAACAGTGTCTGCTGTAGACTCTACCTCATGTGAGTGCTACATTTCTGAGACAGTTCCCCTGAGGTTGGTGGCTCCACTGAGGACTCAACCGCAAGCGTGTGGCTTGGATTTTGCTGTGACCTTGGAGAGTGGATGTGGCTGCTCTGGTTTGTGTTTACCAACTGGCAGTATAAATCTCAATGCCAGCCAGGCTCAGGCCCTTGTCCTGCTGGGCAACTGTACTGTGGCCCACACTCTACAAGCCCTCTAGCTCCAAGAGACAGCCTGCCTTCTGTCCCCTGAGGGCTTGGGACTCCTTTCTTTTAAGGAGAAGTCCCTCTTTTGCTATTAACCATAGTTTTGTGATTGTTAACTTTAAAAAAAATCATGTCAACATGTTTGGAGCAGGATATGGTTTCAATCATCTTTAAGCAGAAGTAATGTGATTTCTCTACTTGTAATACAGCTTCTGTTAGTTAATGCTGTTCCATAGAAATGCACATACCCCACAGCTGTGTGTCATCCCTCAGGTTGTGTGCAACTGCTCACAGCAAGCCTGTCCAGGCCTTCTGGGGACTAGAGTCCAGCTTAACCTAAGACAACAGGATCTAGGTGAAGACAACTTCGTTTTTTTTTTTTTTCCAGTGCTAGGGATTGAACCCCAGACCATCAGCATGCTAGGCTAGTCTACAGCTGAACTGTACCCCAGACTTTATTTTATGTAAGGATACAGCAGTCTTCCCTTATCTGTGGGGGACATATTTCATTGACCCCCAGTGGGTAGCTGAAACCCCAGATAGTACTGAATTCTGTGTAAACTATACTTTCCTGTACATACATACCTATGATAGAGTTTAATTTTAAATTAGGCACAATAAAATATTAATAACAACAATAAAATAAAATTATTATACTATAATAAGACTCATGAACAATCTCTCTCTCTCTGTCTCCCTCTCTTCCTCCCTCCTTCAAATATCTTACTGTACTATGCCTCTCCTCCTGCTTGCCCATGGTTATGAGAAACCTCAGAAGGTAAGACTGGATAAGGGAGGGGGATGACTTGGTATAAAGTCATTATGCACAAGACACAGGGACCTTTGTTTGTCAGGGACTTAACGTGAATTAATTTGATCTTTGTAACAATCCTAGGAAGCAGATACTATTACCATGTTCCCCATTTTCACAGATAAAAATGCTGAGACACAGAGTGGAGAGGCATGACCGGGTTCTGGGTCCTGAGCTCTTCACTACTCCGCCCTGTGTGTGAACGTGAGTGTATGTGCTGGTTTGCACACAGGGTAGGGGAGGAGTGGCAGACAGTGGCAGACTCAGGACTGGCCCAGGGACACCAGTCACCTGCCTCAGACCAGCTTTGCCTTGTCCTGTCTGACTGACTCTGACACAGGCCCTGAAGAGCCAAAGGAGGCCTGGGCTGCAGGTTCTGCTCCCTCCCGCTCCCATCCCACTTGCCTTCACTGGGGCCTGCAGAGGAGGGAGGAGCCTACAAAGGACTCCCGCCTTCAAGCAAAGGGCTAAAATGCCACTCTTACCCTTCATGTCCAGAGGGACACAGAGATGGAGAGAGAGAAGGGGAGGTACAAGTACGGGGGGAGCAAAGAATACAGAGAAACATAGAAATATGGAGAGCCAGGACAGGAAGGAGTGGAGAAGGAGACACAGAGACCAGAGACAGAGAGTGAGGTGCCCAGAGGGTGTCTGTAAAGGAAGCTGCTGGGAGATGAGGCCAGAGTGACTCAAAACTGATACAGGAGGGTGGCAGTGCAAGGGGCCAGCCCCTGGAGACCTGGTGCCCTCAGGAGTTTGGTTCAGAATGGCCCAGAGCCAAGGACCCTCCCCACCCCAGTGTGGCCCTTCATGGGGATCTGGGGTGGGGCTGGTGTAGGTGTGCATTTGTGTGTCCAGCGCCTCCACCTCTGGTCTCAAGCTGTTGGTATCCATGGAGCAGGGGACAGGTGCCTGGCCTCTCCATGCCCTCCCCCTGCGTGGGGCCAGCTGCACCCCCCCAAGCCAGTGTCAGGTTCCGGGCTGTTCCCTGGGGGAACTTTGATCTGGAAAGAATGAGAGGGACCGATCTGGCTGCTGCCCAGGGCTGAGCCATGTCACCGAGACCTGGCCTGGCCTGCCCTTGCCGCCTTCCTGCCCACTGCGAAACCAAGAAGTTACCCCGGGGTTAGGGGATGTAGACAGGGTCTTTCCTGCTTTCCTCCCCTCCTCTGTTCTCAGTCATCTGTTCACTGTCCATTTACTGCTTCATTTATTCGTTCATTCATTCCTCTTTCCAACAAGCATTGGCTGACGGATGTGGGGAGCTGAGCAGTGGACAGAGGAATGGACAAGACAGGGTCCTGCCCTTCAGGGAGCCCTAGCCTGAGGAGGAGGGGCAGCCACACAGCCATACTCCAAACAGAGACCGGCTGGGACCTTCCCTGGAGGAGGAAGACAGAAGGAGAGGGTGCATCATGGGGTTAGTGGAAGCGGGGGAGGCTTCCCAGAGGAGGGGGATTGGAAGCTGGGATCTGAAGATCAGACAGTTTGGCAAGTAGAAGGGTTGCTTCAGTCAGGGTGAACAGTGCAGGCACAGCCATTGGGTGTGGAAGTTTCACATTTGTTGATAGCGGGTGCCTGGGAAGTAGGAGAGGCTTGGCCAGGAGCCTCCTAAGGCCTGGGGTCAGGGGAAGGCAACCCAGCTGGGACAGTTTTGTCAGGAATTGTAGGCCCTGGCCTCCAGGTGACAACTCCAGACCTCCCTAAGTAAGACCAGCATTCCCTGAGACCTCTCTCACGAGCCCCCAGGCCCAATTAATCTCCCAAATGCTTTTGAGGAGGTCTAGCTCATCAAAGGGCTCCAGATGGCCCCGGCTCAGGCCTTCCCCAGCCCCCTTCTTTGGCCTGGCCTCCCCACCCCCACTGCCCATTCTGACTGACGCAGCCTTTTGCTGGGCTGAAAGCGGACACTGCACGTCCTACGGGGCCCCTGGGGAAGGCTGGGTAAGCCATAGCCCTAGAGCTCTGGCTCCTCTTGTCCTGGAGGCCACTGAGCCAGGCCCTATAAATAATCCCTCCCCAGCCCCTTCTCTGGGAGGGGAGGCAGGCCCAGGCCTTGTGGAGCGGGTGGGGAGAAGTAGAAGAGAGGAGGCCCGAGTTTGAAGCCCAGGTCATCCTCCAAACAATGATGGCTTGCCCTTTGGGTCTGGGTCTCCTGGGCTGGAACAGCCAGAATGGGCTGGGCAGAACAGTTTGCATTCTGGGACCGTATGATAAGAGGAGTGCTATCCTCCTGCTTCCCTTCTCTGGGCAGGTTTCCAGAGGCCCAAAGCCTGGATATAAGCTATGGGGCTACCCAGGCTGGACCTGTCCTGTCCCAGAATCCCCTTCTCGGATCCCCAGAGACCGAGAGCAAAGTCCAGGATGGTGCTGGCCAGAGGCTTTCCACAAGTGCTTGTTCTCTCTGCACCTCAGTCTCCACCCCTGGCTCTTTGGTCCTTGGGGTTGGTGGGGGCTGGGATGAGTCTGTGCAGAAACCTGGGCAGGCCAGGAGAGGCAGGGGTTAGGGGCTGGGACTCAAAGGGGAGGATCCTGGAAATGGAAAATGTGAGCCCAACAGCGTTATCTGGGCTGGAAGCAGCTGTCTCCACCCCACACCCTGCACAGCCCCTGCCTCTTGGGGGAGGACCACAGGCTGCTTCAGGCAGGAATGGGTAGTGTTTGTTCTCTGGGCAGAGGCCTGTGGGAAATTCCTCCTCCACTGGCGTCCGGGAGGGCCCCATGTTGACCCAGGAGGGTAGGAAGCTCCGGTCTTTATCTCCCCTTCATTAAAGGAGGGCTATCATTAGAATTTGATGTGCAAGAATCTCTGCAGAGTAGACCCCACAGCACCCACGGTTTCTACTCTCTAGAGACACTTCTAGGTCTGGCGAGTCAGCCAGAAACGGGGATACAGTATGTACGTCCCAGCTCACACTCACAGAATGATACACACGCAGACATTTAATATGTATAAACCTATGTATGCATCCATGTCACACATATCTAAGCATGTGAGCAGTATCAGCTGTGTAGGACACATCCTGATTGACATCTATGTACCACAGGCATGTCTGCATATGTGTGCACATAAACACACTTCACCACCTATGAGCAAATGCATTGAAAATTCCTCCTGCAAATGTGTATACTTAATGGAAGTACACGCACCGAAGCCCCACACGTATGTGCACAGATGGGAGAAGTCTTAGCTTCCACTTCATCCTTCTACCTAGACACACACATGCAGGTGCAAGTATGACGCATGCACAGTGTTAGGGCTTGTGTCTAGATGTCCCCCCAAAGCCCATGCAGTCAGGTGGGGCTTTTTCAGAGGTAAATGAATCTAGAGTGTGAGCAGCTGGGATTGATTCAC